CATCGTTAAATAATTGTAGATAACAGAACTTATAAATTCATAGTTTTAAGAAATAACAGGCAGTGTAATTTTCATCCTCTAATATAATAAATTTATACATGTCAATATATTCTGTTTAATTCCAAAACAAAGAGTTAGTCCGGAGAAGAAATAAACGCATAGTATTCCATAACAACGTGATACACCTTGTAGCAAAATATCGAAATTGTAGCTTGATAAGCAACGCAGGAAAACATTTTTTAAACCATCGAATGTGAACATTTTGTCATTTTGTTTTGGTCAAAATAACTGCAAACTGACGAAAATGAAATATTCGATATTTTTGTTTTGTATAAATATAACCAAAGGCATATAACATGCAAACCTAACGCAAAATGACGAATGTGCCACATTCATTAAGTTCAGTGTTGTAATTGATACAGTTATTCAATGGTAATCTGCAAACTGTCGAAAATACTAAAGATTGTTGACAAGAACAAAACGCATGTGTTCCCAATTGTGTGAATTATTGCTTCCAAGAAGTTCTTTCGATGAGGCACTTTATCATTTTGTTTTTATCGGTTTCTCATTATCTGATTATTTAGTTAACTGGGTATAGCTAAATCACAAACAGTGATTTTGTGAAAACGAGAATTATTAAAAAAAAAAAGATTAAATAATAATGCCTTTGAGACGTCGTCCACACAGTGTAATTCTCCTTTATATCACAAATACCTCGAAAGAAAAGATGCAGGGAGAAAAAAAAAAGAGATGAAAATAAATAGTTAGCTTTGGAGAATAGAAAAATATTAGCATTTAATTTCGATCTTCAGTTTGTTTTGTCAACGCCTAAAGGAGCTGCAGGACCTTGTGTTTATGTGAGAAAACTTTTTATAATTCCAACCATTTATTAATTAAGAGAAGGGAACGTCCAGTGTTTCATATTGGATGAAACCGAGGTAAAACACGGTGGTACTGAAATTGCTACATGTATATTTAAATACATTATGTCTTACCCTGATATCAAACATGTCAAAAGTGATGTCCGACAATTGCGGAGGACAACAGAAAAACTTTGCTTTTTCTGCCATATGTCAATATATTGTTGATTGTCACCAAAATTTAAAACAATTGACCATGTGCTTTTTGTATCGGGTCACTCAGAAATGGAATGTGATTCTGTCCATTTAAAAATTGAATCTAACTTAAAACATACCCTTGAAGGATGGGCACAAATTATAAGACTTGCACCCACTAAGCCATGTCCGTTTGAAGTGACATATCTACTTCATAACGACTTCTTAGATTTTAACCAAAGAAAGGTGACATTTGCACCTTTTAGAATATAGAAAATAAATTAAGACCAAGGAACAAGCAAAATCAATATGAAAAAGAAAACGAAGTAAAAGATGAAGAGCAAACAAGTAATACTAATTTTAAATATAGTGATGGTATATCGTACCAATATCGGCAGAATGAAAATAAATTTATATGAAGACTAGAATTGATGGAAACTTTTTATCTCTTGAAACCAAACAAAAAAGAGGCAAATAAAATATATAAATAGTATAAACGTGTATGTGAACAAAACTTATTACCTAGGCCATACCACCAATATTACCAATTTTTACCAACATCTAGTACTGATAGAGATTGTCTTCCAGAACCTGACGCAACTGAAGACAACGATAACGTTTAATTCAAAATTTAAAACTTTTAATTTACCATTATTTTACAACAATTGAAGGTCATGACTGAGTACTTGAGGTATCTACAGGACGTGAAGTTCCATAATTAATGTTTTTTTACGTTTCTAATTACATTAATTTTCTAGCAATACATACTTTCATAAAAATACTTTTAACAGTTTTCTAAAACATAATTTTCCCATTTTATCCTACAACTTTAATTTTTATTTAAATTATTTGTAATAAAAAATGAAAATATAAAAAAATTTCCATTTGTCAAGGCGCTGATTTCGGATTCTCTAAAAAAAGAGTTATCTTGCTCTCCTGAAAAATACTAATTTTCACATTCGATAGTTGAAAATGGTAGGGACAATAATATGTGGGCTTACTTTGTTTTACATGCAACAGAACTTTAATTTTATGGAAGTAAGTAGCGATATATTGTTTTATTTAAAAATGAAAAGTTGGTTAGGCGTAACTTATTTTTTTATTACACAAATTATCTGCTGAATGGTAAGTCGTATCATTTATTGCGTTTTACTTCTATGTACATACAGCGGAAAGAGCTGAGAATTTTGGTATACTTAAGTTAATATTTTAAAATTTGTCATTTACTTGGTTTTTGCAGTATATCTACGACATATTACATCTAATGTTGTCGCAAATAACACAATTACATGTCATAAATAATGCAATAAATAATAAATTTTCAGGGTAGGATCACTATTCCCGTCGGATATCCTTGTTTATAATACAAATTTCAATAAATCAGGAAATCAAGTTAACACTAATCCATCCCGACAACTCGACCATCAAAATAATCATTCGAATTTACCGGAGCTAATAATAAACAACATTAACGTTGTAGAGCTTGGCGGCGGAATAGGGCATACATCAAAAACGGGGCTTGAAGTGACAGTCATTATGTTATTACAGGCGTATGTTACATTTGATCTACGACTGGATTATGACTATTCTTCGAAAAAGAACCCACTATGTTATATCTGGTTTCATTTCAGATTTGCTTAAAGACAACAAACATCATTTGCTTTAAACATAATTATCTGCGGCCACATGGAGTTTATGTGTTTAGAACCGCAGGAGGGGAGCGCTAAATTGGGATCCGGAGTCGCGCATTCGCCATTAAGAAATAAAGAAATCATATTTTATAGCGAAATTAACATATGATTTTCACACGTAATTTAATCGTAAGATATCTCTTTAATATTAACCCTGGAATATCACACCTATTTTTTTGACATACACCTCACATATGGGTATCAGATACCCATTGATTTTTTGTGAAGAAATAAATAAAAAAGTAAATATTTTATGATTTCCAGGGACTGTCTAGTCACTATTGAATACACAAGAATCATTAAATCAATCATTTTACTTTCTCTCTTTTAATTGTAGTAATACAAAAGAAAAAAATATTAAAAATGTTTAAAAATATTTAATAAACATTTTCTAAAAAACCAGAAACCTAATTCAAAATATTTTACCTTAATATAACAACAAAATGGTCTTTCTAACTAAAATCTAACACCTTTTGATTATAGAACTCATAGTCATTCTTAGCCAGGTATTTCAATTTCACTCATTTTGTTGACTGCATTCACAACACTGTTTAGCTCTATGCTCCATGCAGTAAATGCTTTATGGCAAGCCGAGCATGCATGCTTCGTTTTTCTATATTTTCCTTTGCAGAGATAACACCTAGTTTGCTTCACTAAACTTGTGGGATATTGTGTTGGAAGGTCTTCAACTTGGAGAATGCCACAAATTGATTGCCTGAGTAATTTCGGTAAAGAAGGTATTTGAAGTCTCTCTCGCATTAGTGGTTCAATTAAAGCCATTCCCAAAGACTTCAGAAAAGATTTTCTATTATTAGATGCAGTTTCTTTACAATGGGTATTTGCGAGAGAAAATAGCACCATTGCATTTATGCCACTTGCATCAAGCATGTTAAAAAAATTCTTAGTGGCCATCGTCTGCATTTTCGTGATGTAGTATATAAGAATGGCATAATTGATCGAACGTATCTGTACCTCCTTTTGATTCATTATAGGTGTGTATAAGGTTTGGTTTTTCTGTATCAGCATTTAATGAATTATCATGATGTAATGTTGACAGCAAGAGAACCACTTTTTTGGGATTTGGAGTGTATGAGATAATAGTTTTATTTTCGTCGAATGCAAATAATGATGCACCTACTTCTTTTTTACTAAGAAAAGACGGTGGAATTTCTCGTTTATTTTTTCTTAGTGTACCCAAGATAGTTAGTTTGAATTGTTGTTGTCTCATCATTTCATCAGAAAGAGGTATTGAAGTAAACCAATTATCTACTGTTATATTTCTGTTGGTTCCATGTATTGGTTCCGACAATTTCCGAACGTAAGCTGGTACTGACTCCTTATCCTGTGTTTGGACTTTTCCAATATATGGAATAGCGTTAACCATATAAAATGTTTTAGAGCCATTCATCGTCATTATCTTTATTCCATATTTGTCGGGCTTACTACTCATATAGATTTTAAACGGGCTTTTCCCCCTGAATCCTGAACGAGCTGTTCATCGATAGTACAATGCTAAAAGGAGGTGTAGTATGATGTACAGTTGCTTATAAAGATTTCCCATAATTCGCGTATGGGTGCAAATTTATCCGCTGCTTTTCTTGTTGCTCTTGTATTTTTATCATCAAACCTTAAGCATACAGCTAGAAATGCAAACCTCTGCTACGACATCGTAGCACGAAATATTCCATTTCCAAATTGTAGGGACCAAAGTTCATCAACACTAGAGTTAGAAACACGTAATGCACCAGATATGAACAATAACCCAATGAAGGCTTTAACTTCTATTTTATTTGTCAATTTGGTGTAACTTTGCGCTGTAATACTTTCACGTTTGCGAATGATTTCTTCATTTGTAAAAAGAACGATAATATCTAACATTTCTTCATTAAATAGTAAGTTCCAGGCTTCTTCAGGAGACTGAAGTCTCCTGGCATTTCAGATATATTTAAATTATAGATTTAAATATATCTGAATATTTGGATATTCTTATTATTTACTCTTATATTTAATTGCATATTTCGTGTTCTGCTAACCACTGTTACCTTCGTCTTGTCTATATTAATATTCAAGCCCAGTCGTTCTTCATCAGTGTTTATTATATCTATTAGACGTTGTAGTACTATCAGCTACTATGACTGTATTATCAGCATAGCGAAGATTACTAATAGTCTGTCCCTTGATTTTGATTCTATCGTCAGTTTCACTTAAGGCTTTATCGAAAATCGTTTCAGACTAAAGATTAAAAAGGAAGAGTGACAGATCACAACCCTGTCGTACACCTTTATCGATTAAGAAATATGGTGTAGATTCCAGTCCTACTTTCACAGATGCCACTTGATTCATATAAAGGTTCTTTATGATTTTAAGGTCATTATCATCTATCGAACGTTCCTGGAGCAATCTTACTAATTCATAATGATCAACATAATCGAATGCTTTCTAGTAATCTGTAAAGCACAGAAAGACATATTTTTGTTGGTCTCTGCATTTCTGAAGTAGGACAGTTAAGCTATAAAATGCTTCTCTTGTGCGAAATCGTTGTCTAAAACCGAACTGTGTAGGGCTATTGTCTCTTTCATATCTGTTGTATATTCTTATGTGAATTATCTTTAAGAAGAGTTTTAAGACCTGACTCAATAAGCTGATCATTCGTAATTGATCGCAACTATTAGCGTTTGGCTTTTTTGAGATTGGTATAAAGGTTGATTGAAGCCAATCCTGTGGTATTTGACCTGACCACAGCCACCATTACTTCCAAGCCATGAAGTAAAAAAGGCAACACCGCATTCTATGACGTCGGTAGTCCGATAATCAGCTGCACGATACACTCACACACGTGTGAGTGTATCGTGATCAGCTGTAAGGTCTACCAGAAAATTAAACTAATTTGAATTTTAGGAAACTGATATTTTGAAAACTTCAATTCATTACAGAAATATTTTTGGGGAAATTAAATTAATAAAACCTTATATATACCTAATAAATATATATAAAGTTTTATTATTATTAAGGTTATATTATCAATAAAATAATCATAAGAGTAAAATTTATTGTACTTAAAATACAGTGTGAAACAATTAATCTTACAATCAAATGCAGTCAAGAATCTCTAGAAATTTTAAATATTAAGTACTTAAGCATATAAATAACACAATACATTAACACGACATTGAAAAAGCTTATTAAAAATACAAAAGATATAAAATTTGTTAAGTAAAAACTTAGTGTAATGATTAAAAAATTCATCCTAAGAAATCAGACACAATACAAATATGGTTCTAAATTAATCTAATTGAAAATTAAATATTTTAATATTTACTTATAACTTTTGTTGAATTTTCATACTTAGGTATACTAAAGTAACAATTTTATATATGAATAGGTTTTTTGTCATATAGACCAAGTTAAAAGAGTTATACATGAAAAATGTGTTGAATGTAACATACCATTTATAACTTGTATATCGATTTAAAATAGCCTATATTCTCAAAAGATTTTTGAATGTAATACTCAAATTTGTTATCACTTATCTAAAAAGCAGATTTATATCGAGAAAGTGACCATCTTGTTAACTTACTATATTGTAAAATCCATTTCAAATCATTACTACTTAATCTATTCTTACCTACGTTGACGATTACACTAAAATTACTGCTAACTATTACACTACTTATTACACAAATATTGTCACACTAATATCCCAACTGATTAATGTTTAATACATAGAAATATACACAGTCACTTGTAATTTTACTTGTCCAGTTTTTCAATGGGATATTATTTCTCTTTAAAAATATTTTATTGTCTCTTTGTCTATTGTCTATTGTCTCTTTAAAAATAATTCAAATGAATCTATTAAATCATTGTCTAAGAATTCTGTTATCTCTTGTTTCCTTTTCTTATGCAAAAAGTTTCTTCTGTCTTCGGGATTCCTTCTTTCTTTAGTACGATAAACAGTTACATATGATGGTACTTCAGAAAATATATTAGGAACTGCATTGTCTTTTAATTTGGGAAATATTAACTTTTCAATGTGTACATTTCCATCTTTATCTTCTCATTGTTCAGTCCGCTGAATATCATCTTCATGAAAATGTTTGGTACATACTACGGAAGATTTGGTAATTGTATAGCCTTCTCTATGAATAGAGCATAACCCAGTATACCTTCTTTGGGGATCTTTGGGAAACGAAAACGTACTTTCTGCCTGTTTTGTTTTTAAAGTACTGGCATAATTGGTTTTGCTACCAGGTACACAACAATGCCAGGGCATCTGTAACAAAAAACAAAAGTATTATTGTTGTTTTTAGTTTACATATTTTGTAACAAGAAGCAAAAGTATTATTTTCAGTTTGTTTTGTAGGTTATATTATTATATTTATTTAAGTATATATATTATTATATTTATACTTGCCTTTTAAATTGTCGTTAAGAAACTTCTAAAAGTTCTAAACTTAATAAAATTTCACTTATATTAATATTTTCTAATTGATTTAAACACAATTTACAAATAAAACATTCTAATAAAGTTAAAAAAAACACTGAATTCAACAAACTTTACAAGCCTTCCTGTATGAAATGTTAAACAAAACAAACCACGGTCGGACTACGACGCGTTGTTGCCAAATTTCTACTTCATGGCTTGGAAGTAAAGGTGGCTGTGACCTGACCCATAAATGTCATTAAAAAGATCTATCAAGGCGTCTATATTGTCTTCATTCAACATTGTTAGAAGCTCTATGTATATGTCGTTTGGGCCTGGTGCTTTTCCCCATTTGCTCTGTTTGACTGCCCTTACAACTTCTGACTTCAATATTTGGGGGGAGGGGTTCACTTTTATATTTACTTTCAGAGTTTCTTCTAGTGTTGTCTGAGTATAGTTGCTGTGTGTAGTTTCTCCAATGTTAAAGCAGATCCTTTGGATCAGTAATTAATAATTGAAATGATGTTAAATGCTCGAATAAATGAACTTTGAAAAATAAGGCTATTATCGAGCACAAGTTAATTAAATCTAGCCCAAGTACTTTCGCTTAAAATAGCATCTTTAGGGGCATCTGAAATAAGCTAAGAAAACCTTTTTTAGATGAAGTAAATAAGTTAACTTCGATAAAAAACTCGAAGTCAATGGATGAAAAAATGTTTTTGAGATTAACGTTTTAGACTTACTTCCTCAAAATATAAACTATCCGGCAAGCGTAGAATGTGGAAACATTAATAATAACATAAAATTTTACAAAACACTACACTAAAACGAGGACAAATAGTTTAAAATTACTTTAAAGATTCTACCCTACATTCTTTGTCAGTATCTGGAGGGATAATGATCTAAGCGGAAATGATACGGTGACATGTGACATATGACGACTTTGATAGGCAGTCAAAGTTATGGATCTGTGATCAGCACATATTAAAATTCTGTATAAGTTGTCAAGATATAAACAGATTGGAAGCTTTCGAAATGTGGCTTTATCGCCGTACCCTAAAAATACCATGGACAGCGAAAATCACAAATATGGATGTCCTTAAAAGAATAAACCAAGAACGCCAACTTTTCGAAACCATCAAGAAAAGGAAAACGGCGTATCTAGGTCACATCATGCGAAATGAAAAATACCAGTTCCTCCAACTTATAATCGAGGGTAAAATTGAAGGCAAGAGAGGAATGGGACGCAAGAAAATGTCCTGGCTCCGAAACATAAGGCAATGGACAGGGATTAACGACATACAATCTCTGATACATATTGCAAGAAATAGAGAATTAATGGAAAATGTGATCGCTAACATCCATTAGTGGATTTGCATCTGAAGAAGAAGAAGATAAGTTGTCATTGGCCAAAGGTCCAACTAGAACTACTACTGAAAAAATCAGCTGATGAAGTATGACATATAGAATATTTTGATTTAAACTAGATTGCATAATCCAGATCTCAGACTCACACCCGTCTGTAATAATAAGGTTGTAGGTTTGAGGCTAAATGAAGTGTACATAAAGTGTGAATGAAAGAAATAGACCAAACGATCTATTGGACAGTGGGTAGTTGACTACAATAAAATGGTCTACCAGGCACTGTCAATACTGTAAAAACGAAAAGAAAAAATTGACTATAAAATTGAAATATTTAAATTAAATCAGAATTGAAAGCAGTGTGTAAATGGGTATAGTTCAAGTAGTTCAGTTAAACCTCAAGCCAATGGAGGAACTATAAAACTAATATGGAATAGCATTACTAACGACCAACTGACCAACAGGTGTTGAAATATAAAACTGTGGAATTAGTATATGTAGATTATGCAGAGGTATGAAGAGTGAAATCAACTCCAACTGTGGATCAATTGAATCTGAGCAAGCTAGTTGTGTAAATTGTTAAATACAATAGTAATGCTAAACAAAGCATGAAATTGGTAGATTTTTAATGTATAAACTCAGTGCAGGAAGTCTAGACAGCCGAGCTCGGTCCACTACGAGGTGAAGCTGTAATAAAGTTTTTAAAAATAGGTTTAAATTTAGTACAGTTCAAATTAATTTGAGTGTTAAGACAATGAGAGTTTCCATTCGTTTCCTTTGTGATCTCCAAATCTTCCGATAGATCCAACTTCAAATAGTTTTTCGTTCTACTGATGTCGTGCAAAATAGACGAACCAGTATTAATGTTGAAATTGTGTTTACTAGACTCAAAATGTTGACCAAAACTTGAAGAGTTTGGTCTTTTCAAATGTTCTGATATTCTGGTAGATAGCTTTCTAATGGTTCTGCTTACATAAGAGGCATCACAATCATCACACTTTAATTTGTAAATATCACTTTTGTCAAGTGTGTTCAGTCTGTCTTTGGTGTTAATTAAAAAGGAACCTACAGTGTTGTGTGACCTAAAGGAAATTTTGATGCTTTCAACTGCAGAAGTAAAAAGCTTAGCTATTTTATTAGAAATGTTGCTAATATAAGTAAAAGAGAAATATCTGATGTTTTTAGAAGCATTTGGTTGAAGTAGACTTTGTGATGAATATGCAAGCTTTTCTGTAATTTTGAGTTTAGCTCTATTTAGAAGCTTATGGATAATGTTGGACAACATTGTTGGTTGTTGGATTGTCTTGGCTTATTTCAGATGCCCCTGAGGATGCTATTTTAAGCGAAAGTACTTGGGCTAGATTTAATTAACTTGTGCTCGATAAAAGCCTTATTTTTTAAAGTTAATTAATTTATTGTCCTTCACAATACTGTTAAAACTGCAAGTTTTTGTATGACCTGTCACTTCTTTAATGAGTTTATGTATGTTAAAGTGGTCATGTTTTTTTTTCATTCCTCCATTTCTGCACACTTGTCTAGCAGCCACTGTTCTCTAGCTTTGCGAAACTCTTCGTCATGATTAGTCGAAATCGTAATTGTCGGTTAATCTGCAGATGTTTGGTTCGGTCTTTGTTTTTAAATGATCTACGGTCGTCCATAATTGATGATATTTCGTCAATCATCCAGTTGTTCTTTTTATACTTTTCGGAATCAGAGACTTTGGCGATCAGAGACTTGGTGGTGGTTACGATAGCTGTTTTAATACAATTCCATTTGTCTTCTATACTGGCCGGTTGTTTAGACCTTGTCGTGATATCCGCTATTGCCTCATTAAATTTTTCTGTGATATTTATTTTAACGTTAGGTTGCTTTAAACTGTTTATATCAATTTTCTTTATGGATTTTCTTTTAATTTTCTCATCTGTCAAATAAACGTCAAAGTGTAAATACGAATTTAATAGTTCTCCGTATTTTAAAATTTAATTTCAGATAGTTTAACATATAATCTTAAGTTAATTTACACATTTAAAAGTTCTCCGCGAATTTTTGTGATTTAGGAAGTGCTAAACAGTTAGATTCTATTACTATAGTTTAATACATATATATTAGTACTAGTTTAGTCGTCGAAGCGATCGTCGAAGGCTCCATTTATGGAGTCTTCTAACGGGGGCGAGCCCCCCGATAAAATGCCAAGGGATCAGGATGCGATGGATGATTGCAGTTATGGTTCCCATGGATTTTTATCCCATCAGCTAGAAAACTCGATAAGTAGTCCTAATATTATTAATAATTTAAAAACTATGGAAAATAGAGGTCTTCAAGAAGGAGACTGGGCCGATAAGAAATTATGGCGATTGGGATGCGAGAAGCGACAAAATTAAAGTTGCAAACACTCGCTAAATATATATATATATATATATATATATATATATATATATATATATATATATATATATAAATATATATATATATATATATATATATATATATATATATATATATCTATATATAATTTAAAAACCGATAAACAAATTACCTGACTAAATCCTAATGATACAGAAAAAAGCAGACCTGTATATTTAGATGAAAAAACTGATTTAGGACGATTTCACATTTTTATTGAAAACAATGATAAAAATGTTATAGGCAAATTAAATGCAGTTAAGATAGGTGAAATATTAGCTACAGTACATCCGGAAATTGATAATTATATTAAAAAAATTGATTCAATTGGACGCAACCGTATTAGAATATCATTTAAAAACTATGCTAGTGCAAATACCTTAATTACTTCTAAATTGCTAATTCAAAAAAATCTAATTGCATATATTCCGAAATTTCAATTATTTAAATTAGGTGTAGTTAGGGATATAGAATCAGATATATCGGAAGAATATCTTAAGGATAAAATAAAAGAATTTGATCAACATTGTAAATTCTCGGTGGATTATGTAAAAAAAATAAAAATAAAAATAAAAATAGTTACAGATGATAAAGTAGTTTTTAAACCTACAAAATCGGTAATTGTATCATTCAGATGTCAAAATATACCAAAATATGTCGTAATTAACCATATTTTACATAATGTAGAAAAATATCAGCAAAAAGTAATTATTTGCTACAACTGTTATAGGTATGGACACATGAGTAAGCAGCGTAAAAGCAACCCTAGATGTCTTAAATGTCATGAGTCTCACCCTTTCGATTCTTGTTCTTTATCATCTTTTAATAAAAAATGTCTCTCCTGTGAAGGTAAACACTTCACTAACGAATGGGAGTTATGTCCAGAATTTGACCGTCAAAAAAAATAAAACATTACATGTCTGAAAACAGCTTGTCTTTCAAAGAAACGCTTAAATTATTTTCTAAAGTAATCTATGCATCGATAACAGCTAATAATTCCTCAATAAATTCACATCAAATCCCAAATATGAACGGTCCATCCTTTTCATATTCCTCTACTCAATTGTCCACATCCCCCTTACCCCCTAACCAGCTCGCTCACCCTACAGTTTTAAACAGATATACAATAATAAAACCTCCAAAGTCCAAACGACCCCTCTCTTCATCGCAAGACCCAATAGCAATAGAACATCAAAAAATAATAAAGTTAAACCCCATGTCCAACAGACCTGGTGGCATTTTCAATTCAACTTCTTATCAATCTACATTTAATGCAGAACAAGGATCCAAAATACATGAATCTCCTAAAGAATTAACAGAACTAATATCAAATATAGTTATAAGTATTATTTGTAATATGAATCACAAAAATTTTGAAATTCCAGAAAAATCAGTTTTAATAAATTTAATTCAAACAGTTTTAAGTTCTCTCTCATATAATAATGAATAGTTTGGTAATTTGTCAATGGAATTGTAGATCGGCTAACTCTAATAGAGAAAATCTCCTTCACCTACTAGAAGACCAGAAAGTTGATATCGCATTATTATCAGAAACTAGATTTAAACCAGAAAATTATATTAACTTTCACGGATATAATATTGTCAGAGACGACCGCTTTTTAGCAACTGTCGGTGGTGGCTCGGCAATTTTAATAAACTTAAATCTGTATTATGAGGAAGTCACCATGAAAGTAAAATTATTGAACATCAATAAAGTAGCCCTTAAGTTTAAATCATTCACTGTAACATGTATTTCGATGTATGTTCCCCCAGGAGTAAAATTATCG